TCTAGGTTTTGTATCCGCAACCTGTACTCTAAGTGCGAGGGTAAGGAAATACAAGTGCAATGACTATACCACCAACGATGGTAGGACGAGAGAAAAAAAAAAAAAAAAAAAACGCGCGTAACAACAAGTGATGGGTTCAGAGCCCGGATCCATACAACTCTTATACGCCCTCGCCCCACGGGGCAAGTAGCTCCCGAAAGCCCACCCCACACAACCCCACCGTCAATCGTAACACGCCCACACGCCACTCACTAGACCCATAGACACACGACGCGCATCCAGCGAGCTGCACCCTCCGTTGCTCCGTCGCCTAGAAAACAGTCGTCACTGGCTGGTCATAAGCGCATCCTCGAAGTCGCTCCATCAGCCCACGCGCCCGTCACCCACCCACCAACCAACAGCCCGGCCAGACACACTTCCCCGACACGAGGCTCCGCACCACGGCTAAGGCGCAGCGCCGCGGGACGGAGGATTGGGATAGCGCTTCCTTTCCACCACCCGCACAACAGCAGCAGCAGCAATCAGCAGCGTGCAAACACGAGCGAGCGAGCCCGCGCGTTGGGGAAGATCGGCCTGGGCAAGGGGGGTCTGGGGCTGCGCACGCGCAGGCATGCTGCATGCGCGACGATGACGCGGGGCTGGTTGGCCCTCCTGCGCTGCACGCCGACCCAGAAGAGGCGCGCGCTCGTGCGTCTCTGCCCCGAGGTCGAGGCTTTGCGCAGTGCTACAGCACAGTACGGTAACAGACTGCGCCGATTGCTTTTCGAAAAAAAAAAAAAAAAAAACTGTAGCCTGTAGGCAGCGCGTCGCACTGCTCCGAGACAAGGCAAGAGCTGAACACCCACGGCACTCGCACAGACCTGTAGTTTTTCCTTAACAACTCACACAGTGCCCGCCGCCGCCACCGCGTCCCGGCGTCCGCATGACGGGCAAGCAGCGACCTGGCGTGCGAGGTGGGTGGGTGGGACCCCGGTGCGGGGTAAGGCCGCCGCCAGGTGCCGCCAGGTGCCGCCCCCCAAAGGAAAAAGTGCGGGGGTGGGGACCGGGACAACGCGTGTGGGACAGCGCGCCAACACCCGTCACCCGTCATCCAGCACCAACGTCGGCCGCCGGCGCAGAGCCAACTGGCACTCCGCCGCGCCCGCACCTTATCGCCCGCGCTATGCAGGTATCGCGCGCTGCGCCGTCGTGATTGGACTAGCCTCACGCGCCGCGCTGCCGCGCTGACGCCCGCGGCTTCCCTGAAGGGGTATGCCGGTCGGTTGGATTTCGCCCGTGGGACCGCCTTCACAGGGACGTGGATAAGCCTTTTGGCTCTGGATGAAGGGGGCGTGAGACCGATGGTGAGATGCTCGGTGTAGCTCTTCGTTGGGGGTGTAAAGGGTTGGTGGATTTGCTGATGGGGAGGGATGGGGTTGATAGGCGGGTATGTGCGGTGTTGTGTGCGAGGGGGATATGGGATGTTTAGATGGATGCGGCGGTGGTGGTTTCGACCTGGTGGATGGATTCATGGTTCTATGAGGTGGGTTGGCGTTCAACATCTCACTGGCATATGGATTGTTGGGAGATAACCCTGTGAATATTCTTCGTATGCTAAGCTTCTACTTCATGCGCCGCTGAGGACGTCCATTTCCAATCACCATGACTCCTTTTCGATGCCTTTCCGCCCATTTAGTTATAGAAGAAAGATATGAAGCCCTATGGGATAGAGATAGAGCAACTGGAATGATCACTTCTTTCCCTTTTTCTTCTTGGTGGTCTTCTTGATGGTGTTCTGGGTGGTAGCCATGTTTGCCTTATGTGCCTTATGGGCGACGGTCAGCTCCTTGATGATTTCCGACTGTGCCTTGTAATCTCTCTTCTGTTGAAGAATGACACCCTTGAGGTTGATCCTCTCTAGGCGGAGGGCGGCCTCGGCAGCACGTTCCTCTGTGGGAAGTTCGTTGAGATCAACGGGAGCAACGGCTCCGTTCTTGAGCTGCTCGAAGCGCTGTTCGCAGGCCGCGGGAGAGTAGAATGCGGAAGGCATGGTCCTGTGGAGCTCGGTGGCTGTCTTGTGGAAGACACGCGCACGAATAGCTTCAACTTCGGCCTCAACTTTCAACTGAGCGGCGTGGTAGGCAGCCAGCATGGCCTCGTCCTATGTCGTCATTAGCATACTGATAAGCAGTGACCTCAGTGGTCGTCTGGATAGAATGTCTTACTTCCTCAGATGTCCAGAATGCCTGGTAGTTCTCGAGTTGGCGGTCCTTCTCGTTCATTTTGACTTGGCAGATGCGACGATAACGCGTCACGATGGACTTCGCATCGTACTTGAGATTGAAGGTATGCTCGATGACTCCAGCGATGTGCTTATCTCCGAAGCCACTGGCCTTGAGGTCGAAGATGGTCTTGTCAATCACATCCAGGTTGGTAGTCACAGCCCGCCTGCTCTTGGTAGGCTGCCTACCAAAGGCAATCTGCCCAGCCAGGCTAGCGTGCGTTTCTGGCTGCTGGTAAGGGTCTTCAGGTGAGACGAAGAGAGAACCGTCGGCATCGAGGTCATGGAAATCTTCGTCGGACTGAGCTTGAACACCGGCATTCGCGTCGATAGGACGCTGAGGTGAGAGTGAGTCAGACAGCTAGGGCGTCGGGGCATATTCGTGGCTTCCAACATACCTCATACATGTCCTCGCTTTCGGCATCACTCAATGCGCCGGGGTCGAAGTCCTCATCATAGTCCATTTGAACATCGTCATCATCGTCGCTCATGATGCCGGCGTGGACGTTGAAGCGGTTATTGTAAGGAAGAAGGTTGGTTCCGGGGTTTATGTGGGTGATCTGGCCGTAGCCGGACATGATTAACTCAGGTCTGGCTGTGAAAGGCGGTTGTTTGATGTGAAAGGAACGTGGCCTCGAAGTAAGTTAAACGTGACAGTGAGTGTGATTGGCGAGGAGGAAGAAAGACCTCGGATGCGGAGGAAAGAGTTAATTAAGATGGGGGAGAAATAGACGGCGCGCGCACTCGTCGTCAATCCGCAAACTGCAGGTGCGGACAGGTCGTTCCTTCCTCACGCACATCATCGAGATGAGGCCATTGTTGCTAACCAGGTAGCGACTGCGGCCCTGGGTTCTGTGATAAGAACCAGCAGGGGTACAAGCAGATGTCCAACCTGCTGCGCTGGTCCAACATGTCACACTTGGAAGCAGAGTAAATGTCGCTGTATGTTTCCCTCTTTTATCGTGTCTGGAAGCACTCCATGTTCATGAAGAGTATTTAATGATCTACCTACCAAATCCATGCCGTCCATAGACAGGAGCACAATGGAGACTTACACAAATGGCCTAGTGGTCTATTTTATAGAATTACTAGGCGTACTACGTGAGGTGGAACTGGACCTAGTGGGTTACATGCAAGCCATACAGATATAGGCGAATTACGCTTTCGTAACTAAACTATAAACTATAAGCAGATCATAGGGATAAATTTGTATTGGTGTAAACGGTGTGGGCGACTTGACAAGTTGACAGGTTGACAGACCCTTGACAACCTGCTGACAGGCTTCGCTCCTGTGGCGCATTTCGAACGTCGAGCGTGGCTTCGGAGCGAGGATTTATCTCGGAAAGGCAAAGGGTTGCAAAAGGTAGGAAAATATCTGATAGATGATGGCGACCGTTGTTGCAAGACGTTTGATGAGCGGTTTCATCGACAGGCATGTGGCGTTATGACGCAAGCGGGGTAGGCGCAGCTTGTTCCGCCACACTTTCACCCTCACCTCGTCATGGTGCGCCTGCAGGAAACTTGATAGGCCTGGAATCACATGATAGAGTAATTGCCTCTTCTCCTGCTGCGTCGCGCCTCTCATCACACACTGCGCTTCTTTTTGCAATCAACCCAACTCTCTTTGTTCACCTTCCACCTTTCGCACACACCCTTATTTGCGGCCATGCTCGAATACTTTACCTACAAAAAGTTCAAGAACAACCGCGACAAGAAGAAGGCGGCACAGGTCGATGCTACGCCACCAAAGTCCCCAATCTTGAACAGTGCCGCGACACCCAAGTCCCCCATCTTGAACGATGAAGATGAGGCCTTCCTTGAGCGCATCACGTCCGAAGAAGCGCCACCTCCGCTTCCCAAGCGACCCGACGTCACTCCCAACAATGGTCAACGAACGAAGTCAAAGGACGCACAGACTGCGTTAATGGATGGCGCAGATCAGATTCCCTTGCCTACATCACCGCCGGCGACACCTGGTGATGCGCAAGCATTGGAAGAGAAGAACAACAAGAAGCGTGTAGGCTACTGGTCCTTTGTAACGGATATCCCCAAGCGCGCAAAGGTACAAGAGATTTTTATCCTGCACTAATTGAGCTCAAACTGATCATTTTATAGAGCAAGCGTCAGACCCAAGCAGCCACCGATCTTGCCGCTGCCGCTGAGACTGTCAAGAAGGGCGAGAGCGCCATACCCAAGGTCGCGGTCACGACCAACGAAGGCGAGGTTCAGAAAGAGGAGCAAGACCTGACGGCCGTACTGGATCAGCTTAATCTGGCCGCTGTCAACAACCGAGTGTTCAGTTTCTCAAAGGAGTCACAAGAACTGCTTGAAAAATTCAAGCAAGTGCTTAAAGACCTGGTCAACGGAGCGCCGCACGCCTACGACGACCTCGAGAAGCTGCTGAAGAACTCCGATGATCAGCTCTCCAAGATGTACGGATCGTTGCCTCCGTTCTTGCAGAACCTCGTCAAGCAACTGCCGACCAAGATGACGGCGGCACTGGCTCCCGAGCTCCTTGCGGCTACGGCCGAGAAGCCTGGTTTCGACGCTTCGCATTTGAATGAAGGGGATGCGAGAGGCGGAGACAAGAAGAAGAAGAAGAAGAGCAATTGGACGCGTGTTCCGCCTCTCAAGAAGCTCGTTTCCGAACAGGGTGCGGTTGCTGCCATGCTCCGCAGTATCCTCAACTTCCTCAAGCTGCGCTTCCCAGCCCTTGTTTCCGGTACCAATGTGTTGATGAGCTTGGCGGTCTTCCGTAAGTTTACCGCTACCTACATCACCGTTTAATTCTCAATCATATCTAACAATACTGGCCAGTTCTCCTATTCGTCTTCTGGTACTGCCACAAGCGTGGCCGTGAAGTCCGCCTTGCCAAGGAGGCCGAAGCTCATAGCGCGGCGAGCTCGCAGTCCAATCTCAACAAGAGCGCCTCGTCTTCTGATGTCGACGAAACCATCCTCACGCCCGGTGCGCGCAATGCTCGAAGCACGGAGCCACCAATCACCATTCACGAATCTCCAGCGACGGAAGATTATTCTGGTGCTACGGTCAGAGATCTACCCTCTGTCTTGGACTTGCCGGACCCGAAGACTGTGCCTCTTCCAAAGGAGAAGTAGTCGGGCACAATATGATACCCTTTTTGCTCTCAATACCGAGTTGGCTTAGATTGAAAACTGGAGTTGCCATGGATGGATCAGGGACGGCGCGGATGGATCACGATAACGAAAGCGACGATTGCTTTAATGATAGCGGGACAAGCGAGTTGGTCTTTCGTGCTGGTTTAGGTTTTTGCATTGCTTTTTGGGTCGTAAGGATACCTTAGATACTGAAACATCACTTCTCTTTCATGACTATTCACGTTCACACGATTCTTCATTTATGGCGAGTTGTGGTTGCTACTGTAGATCTGGTATTAGAGAGCTCTCTGAATTTTCAGAGTAGTTGGAGCTGCAATAAAGCCAGAGCTCGATAAATGTGTCATTGTATGGGATGTAGCTTTGACTGAAACCTCATCTTCACACGAATTAACATGTTAAGTGTAGAATAGACTATAAGTGCCCACTCATACGACTGCATCTTCTTTACATCTCCAGAAACCAATCCGCCAGGGTGGTGCTTCACTTTCTCACTTCAGTCATATCAACCGAACCTGCTTCACTTCACTGTTCTACAACTTCACTCACTTCAGTTTGAACGCCCAGAAGCATACGTTCTGAAGCATACGTTCTCACCATGAACCCTCCTCTCCCCGACCATCGCATCCGCGCAAGCCTCCTCGAACCATCGTTCGAAGCTCCAAACCTCGCCATGAAGGCCAAAAAGCTTCACCCAGAGAGCGACATGCTCCTCATCCTCAAAGACAACAGCAAGCTCAGCGTATCCTCCGCCATCATGGCAAACGCCTCCGAGATCTTCACCACCATATTCGCAACCTACCCACTCGAGCGTGACGACGGCAGCTCCGCCCTACGCAAGAAGATCATCCTGCCAGGTGACGATGCCAAGGCCATGACGACGCTGTGCGCGGCTCTTCACCACGCGCACAACTCGCTTGGCAGTGAAGTCCCGTCCTTGGAGCAGCTGCGCGAGATCGCCCTCATCGTCGACAAGTACCAGTGCGGCGCTGCGGCGCTGCGGCCTGCTTTCGCGCGCTGGCTGCCGCAGGCTCTTGGCAACGTGCGCGGCAATAGTGACAGGACTTCCTTCGGGCTGTATGGCGACCTGCTGGCGTTTGCGCGCCTGCTCGATAACCCCGCGCTCTTCTACGCCTGCGAGTGCGGCGTGTGAGCGCGTGCTGGGCGAGGTGCTTGCGAGATATTTTTGCCTGGAGTGCTTGGCGCGGTTTGATGTCCAGGGCGTGAAGATCGGGATTCGGGATGCGGCAAGGGAGGCGATGGAGCAGGCTGCGGGTGTGTGCTTGGAGTGTGTTGACGATGAGGGTCGTCGTGTTGATGGGAAGAGGGTTAGGAAGTGTCGGCGCATGCATCACTGGTAGATGCCATTGCGAGTGAGGCTGAGTGAAGTGGCAGACTTTGAGTTCGCTAAGTACTCACCTCACTTCACCTCGTCATGTCGGTCTGGGTGAAGGCTCAACTTGATGCTGGCATATACCAGAGCCGGCTCCAGCGCATCGCACATAATTCTTCTTTTCTAGGTAGCAAATTCTCATCAGCAAGTGACATTCCCCAAGCACCCCCAGTTCTATCGATATATGGTATTCTTGTTAGTAGGACATGATCGGTCTCCTAAGGGCCAGCAGGATGCCCGTCCAACGCCAACCCAAAGCCACTCTCTTATCATTACCACGAGTACGCGTTACCAAGGTCGTGTTCCTGCAACCAGTTAGTGACCATTCAACGATCCCAGATACCCTCAACGACTTACCTTGATGTATTCCCCGCCCTTCTCCAACCAATCTGCCTTCGTGACAAAGCTGCCCCTGTTCCTATCGTTACCCGCCCACCTCGCGGCGCCCCTCCAAGCATCCAACACGGGATCCTTCGCCTTCCTCACCACCAACGGCGCAGCACTAGGCAAGCACGCCGTGAGCTCCTCGCGCAGCCTTTCCTCAAAGCCTTTGAACATGGTGTTCCCGCCCGTCAAAAACACGTCCTTGAGCACGTCCTGCTGCCTCGAGTGTCCCGCCAGCCGCTCCGTCAGAATAGACGCCGCGATCTCGACAATGCCCGCCTGGTCTAGCCCCGCGATGCTGGGCTGAAACACGACTTCCGGCACGCGGATGCGCTCCACGTTCAGATGCACCTGGTGGGCCTCGCGCTGGCTCTCGGAGTCGAAGGCGTAGGGCCCGCGCACGAACGCGTGCACGAGGCTCTTGCTCCAGTCGGTCTGCGCCTCGCGCGTGCTTTCCTCTGTGAAGTGCGGGTCGTGCTTGAGCAGCTGCGCTTCGATGGTCTTGAGGCTCGCGTTCAGGTCTTCTTCTTCCTCGTCGTCGGAGCCCTCGCCTGTCGCAATCGTGCGGTACACGCCCCAGTCGGCGTCGTCGGCACCGAACGTGTCGTCGTCGCCTCCGCCGCGGCGTCGTTTCTTGGTGGGGTTGTCGGATGCTAGGTTCGCGATCGATTTCATACGCATTTGCGCAGCAAGCGACTTGCGGTTTCCCAGATCGGCTTTGAGCCGTTCCCGGTCCTTGATCTTTTGAATGATTGCCTGAGGATCGTCAATATATGTATCTCTGAACAATCGAATAACAATGGACGCACCTGACGAGCTGCTCTCCGCTCTCCGATCCATGCATCTGGTTCCCGTTCGCGCCTCTCGTTGTCTAGGCGCTGTTCCTCTGCTATCCGGGCCTTTTCGCGCTCCTTTTCCGCTTTCGCGCGGAGCCGCGCCTCGTAGTTTGACTTCATCAATCGTTGCTGACGCTTCTGTTTGATGCCGTCTTCGTCAAGCTGGTCGTCAGCAACTTCCAACAACGGGAAGGTGGGCGGTTCCTGTTCCTCTTCCTCCATGTCGCCAACGTCCTTGTTGCGAGCCTTGCGGATAGACTTGTCCAGCTCCTTTATCCTCTTATCCAACTGAGCCTCGTCCGAAAAGTCATCAGACTCCAACATCCGCTTAGCCTCTTTCTTGGTGGTATCCTGAATGCGGACCTGGAGATCTTTGTAGTAAGCGAGCTCCTGCTCCTTTGCGATGAGTTTCTCCAACCGCATCTTCGCCGCTTGCTCCTGTAACCGCCTACCACTCTCCTTGCGCTTCTCAGCTGCCCGCGCCAGCTCTTCCGCCGTTTTTTGGACCACCACCTGCTCCGTGTAGGGAAATTGGAGGACGACATCCCGATCCTCCAGCCCGGTCCAGTCCAAGTACCTGCTGAGCTCATTCTCGTAATCTGTTGAGATATAGCAATGTTCCCGAACGAGATCCTCTGCCTGGACATCGGTAAGCTTGCCAGGGAAATTGGGGTATTTGAGGCGGAGGAGCTTCTGAAGGTATTCCGCGCTCTGGAACCGACCCCAGTTGATACGTGTGGCATGCGTGAGCATGGGCTTGGACTCGACAACCGGAACGAGATGTGTAGATGTGTAGGAGGATGATACGACGAGTCCGTTGCGACCATTGTTGTAGTTGTAGGAGAACAGCGAATCGATGCCATATGCGACAGAGGGCGCGCCATACAGTTCGAACAGGATTTCGGACATAGCTGAGGGAGCGTTAGTATGTAACCTTCGTGCTAAGCTCACAGCGGGAGATAAGCTCACTCCTTCTTGAATAGCCCAAGTTTGCGACAGGTTCTGTCATTACAACCGGCCGTGAAATGCCCCCTCTCGACCCGTCTATTCCCATCTTCATGAAGACGTAATCAAGCACACCTTCCATGGCATCCCAGTTGTTTATTATACTGCTCCCAGGCTCGTAGATGTTCTTCGCTTGTCCTCGTGCCGTGCCGTCCGCGTATACTTCGTTTCCAATGAATTGGAATGTGGTGTTCAGCTTGCGATCTCGATAGCGCGCCATCATCGGCGCAACTTGGAGGCGAGGGTTTTGGTCAAAGGACCAGCCGGCCCGGACAGTGGAAGAGCCTGTAGAGTGGTTGGTTAGCTGGAGCTCCACGGTGTCTAGATGCGCGACCGTAGGCCAAGGAGGCTTCAAGTACCATTGTCAATAACGATTGCCGTGTCCGCAGAGCTTCGTCGGTAGCCCTCGGTATCTATAGCGCGATAGCCCTGGACCGGCGGGTCCCTGACAGCCCAGAGCTTCTCCGGCGGCGGTTTGGGGTTGTTGCGCACAACTTGCGGGGTGTCGGTCGCCATGGGTTGGACCATGATAAACGATGGAAGTGTGAGGACTCGAGGTGAGGATGTCAGTAGAGCTCAGGTCATCATCCGCGACAGCAAAGAGCACGGGCGAGCAAGTGCAAAGATGGCCGTTGTTGTGTATTCGTTAAAGATGTTGTCACTCTTAAGTCTCGAGTTACTCCAGAAGCCGCGCCGTGATCGTCCAAGCATCCCAAGCTCCGGCAACCAGGCCCTTGATCCGTGCGCCAAAAGCCGCCTGCCGCCCTAGTGACCGCCGCAAGTTTGCGTGATCATGGGTAACAACCTGAAAGGAAATTTCCCAAAAACAAAATGTGAAAGAGAAGGTTTAGTAGCAATTGACTTTCAGCCTCAAGCAGGATCTTTCAAGCTATCCGTAGCTGCGTCGGGTATCAGCAGTGTCACTTGAAGAAGGAAGAATCACAAACCTTCTAGGTGGAAGAGAACATTGGATTGGTAGTTCTTGAACATCTGAGCAACAAGCTCAACATTCATGTTCTGGATGTTGATTTCCTGGGTTTGAGTCAGTTTCCCCCATGTACATGTGCGGCCAAAAGGGCTGCGGTGAGTAGTATGCACCTGAAGGCTTTTGTTCAGGACCATGACGGCCTCATTCAGCTTCTCCTACAAACATATAAGTTTTCCGGCTAGCTGCATGTCTGCGAGATAACACACTTACCACATTGGTGATGATGCGTCCAAGAAGGAGGCTCTGTTGGTGTTCGTGGGGGCTTTCCTGAAGAGGCGGGTCAGAACACAACAAACCCGATTGAGGCTTTCTGCACATTGCCTACCATTGTGCGAGTAGTTTCTGGGTATCGGCTACTAGTTTCTGTATAAGTCCACTCTTCGGCGGTTGTGTTTGTTGACAAGCCAGCGCTGAAGCAACGGGCATCAACAAGCCTCGCAAGGCCGAGATGGCGCCGCTAACCAGAACCAGAGCTAGGGTGGAGCTCCAGGCCGAAGCTCCCATACGTACTCCATCCCCATCACCACCGACTTGCGAGCCCCGAGTAGACGCCCTTCCGCCCTACTCTCAGCCATCCAAGGCAAACAGTCCATTTTTGTCACAGAACAGCGCCCGTGACCGAAGAAACCCCCCAGGAAGTCAAGTCGGCGTTCCAACAACCCCCCAAGGGCAGCTCCCAAGCGCACTTCAACCACCCCATCCAAGATGGCGCCCATAAACTCCTCCACCGACGAGAAGACACACCAGGCTCTCCTGGCCCAACTCGACATGCACCGTGTGCACAAACCCTTCCGCAACCCGAACTGGAAGCCGCCGCAACGCCGCAACAAGAACGTCAAGCAGATCATCTCCGAGGCGCAGCGCAAAGAAGCGTCCGTCATGGCGACGCAGAACAACAGCGGAACGTCTACGCCCGCGGTCCCGCGAGCCAACAGCGACGGCAGCAACATCGCGCAGGCCGCCCAGAACCTCGGCGCGCTGGTGGCAGAGAAGAACGGCAAGGCGGCCGTGGGACCTGCCGTCACGTACACCAATGTAGAGGCTCCTCCGAGTCTGCAGGTCAAGCGGAAATACTGCGATATCACAGGCTTGCCATCCGCGTACATGGATCCCAAGACGAGGCTGAGGTACCACAATGCCGAGATCTTCGGACTCATCAGGACGATGGGACAGGGGACGACGGAGCAGTATCTGGCCGCCAGAGGAGCGCATACCGTGCTCAAATGAGAGACACGCAGGTGGGAAGAGTTCGTCTTGGACTTGCACACCAGCAATCGCGTTTGCCCACAAAAGTCATGTTGGATTACTGGCACGGCATAGGGTCATCGCATCTCACACGAGCCTCCATCAGAAACAGCATTTCCATCGAACGGATGTATTACGAAGCTATGTCACTCTACCTAGAGCATGTACGACCCACAAAGTCAAGCCCCTTCCACCCGCCCTGCCCCTCTCGAGACAGGGTTCAAGAAGACGCTCCGGCTTAATCGGGATCGATAGATACCTTTTTGTCTTCGCCAAAGCGGCATGGTACCGAAGTCTCATTGAGGAGACCCCAGTTACAGTTGGACGAGCCATACTGTTGCCGCGGCGGTGGAGGTTGTGAAAGGGTCTGGGCTGATAACGAAGCCAGAGACGAGAGGATCTCTCGATAGCATAGAATGAAATCTGAGCGTGTTTTTTGCGGCTCCAGAGAAGACCTTGTCAGTGTCGAGGCGAGCATACTTTGCGATGAATGAGTGCCATCCTGCCATCCATCGTAACAGACCCACGGAAAGCTGCAGCAGCGAAGGGGATTCGAAGCAACTCATGCAGCCAGCAAACCCATCATCGCCATCTCCACGAATCCATTCGTAGGCATATACTCTCCGCAACGTTGGTGAGGACTGAGACGGCGTTGAAACCGGAGACGAACATCGAGTCCAGAGAGAGCGACGGGAGGGTGCAGCGCGCGCGAATTTTCTCGGCGAAAAGAAAACGCGCCAAGGCAGTGGACTGGCGACGCGCGTGGGCGGGCGGTACCTTGCGCTAAGCGGGCCGATCACTTCCACGCAACGTAAACGGGCTTGTCCGTGCCCTGCGTCGCAGCAGCTTTCAGGCCCTAACCGTACGCTCATCAACCAACACACCCAACACGCACGCTGCTAGCTAGCTACGCATTCCCGCGCCTCTCCTCTCCACATCACCGATTTCCGCCCACTGTCGCCGCCGCCGTCCTCCTCATCTTCCTCGCCGATCGTCCCTGCGACTGCTCTCTTATCTACACGCCTCTCTGTTCGGAAATAGGCTGCCAAGATGCCGTCCTTCTGGCTCAGCGACACGCAAAGTACGCCGTGCCCGTGTGTGCGTGTTGGAAACCTAGAGAGCCCCTGCTAACGCCTCTGCGCCCGTGTAGAAATTGGCGTCGCCTTCTGCTCTGGGGGTAGGTACGACACCTTGCGCCGGCGCACACTCTATCCATCCATCTCCATAACATAACCGCCGCAACCCGCCCTCCCCACAACAACAACAACAACAACAACAACAATGCGCTTCCTCTAACCCTCGCACCCACATAGGCGGCTTCTTCCTCCTCGCAGGCGTGATGATGTTCTTTGACCGCGCGCTCCTAGCCATGGGCAACGTACGTGCCCCCCACCTCCACAACCCCCACAACCCCCCAGCTAACGCCCCGCACCCCCCAGATCCTCTTCCTCCTCGGCCTGACCCTGCTGATCGGCCTCCAAAAAACCGCGCTCTTCTTCGCGCGGCGGCAGAAGCTGGCGGGCACGGCCAGCTTCGCCGCCGGCATCGCGCTGATACTGCTGCGCTGGGCGTTTGTGGGCTTCTGCTTCGAGCTGTACGGCATCTTTGTGCTGTTCGGCGACTTCTTCGCCACGATTGCCGGGTTCGTGCGGCCGGTGCCCGTCGTTGGGCCGTATGTGGCTGGGTTTTTGGAGCGGGTTAGTGGCGGGCGGAGGAATGCTGAACTGCCGGTTTGAGAGAGATAAGTGTGGGAGGGGAAGGGGGGAGATTGGTGTTGGTGAGGGTGTGATTGGGAGGCGTGGCCCTGGCCTACTTGGAGGGAAGTGAATGAAGGAAGAGAAGAGCAGAATGAGTGCGGCTATGTGCGGTGGAGGATGAATAATGGCGTATGAAGACGAAGCATCATGAGGCGTTGGGCGGCTTTGGAGTTGGTTGTACCGAGGTACGCGCAAAAAAGTATTTACCTATATATATATCTGGGCTGCGGTTAGTTCCATCTGCGCACAGCAAACAAGCAAGCAAGCATCCTTTCAGACAGAGAGAAGAGTCATTCAAGCATTCGTGAAGCTAAAACGAAGCAACCCGCTGGTAGGTATGCCCAAATGCCGCCCTACTACTCTTACTGTTGCAGCAAATGCCTGGCAGTTTTTGATGCCTATTCATTTTTAACCTTCCAATGTCATCACAAAAAAAGAACTCTCTTTTTAAAAAAGCAGAAAAAGCAACTTTTCAAACACCAGACAGGTGGAAGAACGTGTCAAGACATCACACCGAAAAGCACCGCTGCTGCCCCCCAACCTCCACAAAACGGGATGTGCAGCCCGCGCCGTTTATTGCGCGGCGGCGCCGTTGGTGGTGACGCTCTGGCCCTTTTGCCTGCGCTCGCGCACGGCGGCGGCCAGGTTCTCGAGCACGCCCTCGGTCGTGTCCCAGTCGATGCAGGCGTCGGTGATGGAGACGCCCTTCTTGAGGCCCGAGGGGCCCTCGGCCGGCACCTTCTGGTTGCCCTCGTTGATGTTGGACTCGATCATGACGCCGACGATGCCGTTCTCGCCCTCGCGGATCTGGTCCGCAATGACGCCCGCGACTATGGGCTGGTTGCGGTGGTTCTTGCTCGAGTTGCCTGTGTGTGTGGGGCATGACGTCAGTTTGGGTTCCAGCTAGGGTTTTGGGTCGGTGGGTCGCGCGATGGCCATGCCATGCCATCCCATGCACATGGATTGGGTATACATACCGTGCGAGCAGTCAATCATCATGACCTCCCTCTGGCTCTTCTTGGCCAGGGCCTCGCGCGCGGCCTTGACGTTGTCGGCGTCGTAGTTGGTGCCCTTGGTGCCGCCGCGCAGGATGACGAAGCAGTGCTCGTTGCCGCTGGTGCGGGTGATGGCGGCGAGGCCCTGCTTGGTGACGCCGAGGAAGTGGTGGCTGGCAGCGGCGGCGCCGATGGCGTCGACGGCGACCGTCAGGCTGCCGTCGGTGCCGTTCTTGAAGCCAATGGGGAACGACAGGCCCGAGGCCAACTCGCGGTGCAGCTGCGACTCGGTGGTGCGCGCGCCCACGGCGCCCAGCGAAATCAGGTCCGACAGGTACTGGGGCGAGATGGTGTCGAGCATTTCAGAGGCAATGGGCATTCCCTGGGTGGTGAGGTCGCAGTAGAGCTTGCGCGAGACGCGCAGGCCCTTGTTGATCTTGTAGCTCTCGTCAATGTCCGGGTCGTTGATCAGGCCCTTCCAGCCGACCGTGGTACGGGGCTTTTCCAGGTACGCGCGCATGATGATGCACAGGTCGTCGTTGAGCTTGTCGGCCAGGGCCTTGAGCCGCTGGCAGTACTCGACGGCCGTCTCCGGGTCGTGGATGGAGCAGGGCCCGACCATGACCAGCAGACGGTCGTCCTGCTGGTGGATGATGCGCGCGGCCTCGCGGCGTCCGCGCAGCACCGTCTTGCGCGATACCTCGGACATGGGCAGCTCCGAGGCCAGCAGCTGGGGAGGGATGAGCGGGTCATAGCCGAGGACTGGGTTCAATGTCAGCAAGCGTAGGTGGTGGCGGAGGAGGGGCAGGACGCACCGCGAACGTCGTCGGAGAGCTCATTGCGGAGGCTGTCAATTGCGTCGGCCATGGTTGTGATGGGGAGGATGAAAGGGGAATGCTCAAGAGAGAGGAATTGACGATTGCGGGTGACGGGAGAGCAGGAAAAAGTTGAGTCACAGGGCGGGAAGCCGGTGGCAGGTGGCAGAATAATTCACAGCTGATCTGGCCGGATTCGGAAGGGCTTGTGGGGAAGGACGAGCGGGAGCTAAAATATCCCTAATCTTATCAGATGGCGTGCATTGTCATCAATTCCGGCGCGTGCCTGAAAGTGCCCGCAGTGCGTGCCTGACCCGGAGGGCTGTGTCGAGCTCGAGTTTCACCTCCGCCCGCTCGACCTATCCCGCGCCTCAAGCCGGAAGCTGCACTCGCTGAAACCTGCCTCACGGCGCTTGCTGCCAATTTCAGCTCCGACAATGCCACAGACGCCTGCCCTATATCATGACCCACTTTGCTGACGCCCTTTTTTCTTAATTTGAACCTTACTGCTGCCTGCTGCCTTGTGACCGTCTAGTCTACTTCTTCTTCTTCTCGTCGCCATGTTCCGCATGTCCAATAAGCGCCCGCGCGAGGACGACGATGACGACCCCACCGTGCACCACGATAAGGTACCATCCACGCCCATCCCGCCTCGCACCAGTCCGAGACCACTCAAAACTAAACTTTTAGCAGATCAAAAAGCATCGTGTCGGCGAAGCTCCGCAGCGCGCACATCCTCCCGTGCCGCCATTCTTAAACCTGCACCACCACCAAATCAGATCTCCGTCCTACCTCCCACCGGCTCTGACGCCGGGCCAATCCGACGACTCGGGATGTGACTCGCCGGACCTGCCGCCGTACATGGCTGCCAGCGCGCACAGCGACACGGACATGCAAGACTGCTATGAAGACGATTTCAACATGCTGCGCTCCAACCCCAACTCGCCCGCCCTGCCGTTCATGCTCCCGGAACGCCTGAACCCGCGCCTCCCCACCGACAGCACTGGCCGCATCCCCACCCCCATCTACGGCTCCTTCCCTCCAGCCAGCAAAGCGGCTCTCCCGCGCGGCTCCAGCGACATCAGCACCATGGAGCTCGAAGAGCCGCCCACCCCCACGACCACCAGCACCAGCACCAGCTCTTTCACCCGCGGCCGCGGTCGCCGCATGCCCTCGCCCATCAGCGAGAACGAGTCCTCCGTCGCCACGCCCACGTCCGAGGCCGGCAGCCGGCTGTCGCGCCTCCGCGTCTCGGCCGACGAGGGCATGGACGTGGACATGCCGTCGCCAGCCTCGGCGACAGGCTCGGGTTTCTCGTCCCCGCGCTTGCATGACCCTAGGGCTGGCGGCCGTTCCCGCAGCGGCGCTATCACTACCGGCAAGAAGAAGTTCTTTATGGGGTTTCGTGACGATTGCCCTAAGTGCTTGGCGAAGGTGCCGGGACACAACGCGCATTTCCTTCCGCTTTGATTTGGGTTAGCTTTCTCTCTCTCTCTCTCTTTTCTCTCTCTTTTCTCTCGCTTTTCTCTCATGGCTCTTGGCTTTGCTTTGCTTGGTTTGGCTTGGTTACGACGCGGCGTTTGGAGCGTATAGGCAAGCGAACGGACGGGCGCGCGTGTAAACATCTGCGGGCATTTCTGGACGGATGGATGGATGGATGGAGGGACGGGTACACAAGGAAGGAGCCTTGGGCGGGGTTATAGCTGGCTTGCTAGATACGGCGCCTCCCTGGCTTATAACGGGACTGACGGACAGTGATGCCGAGATGCGCGCAAATACAGGAGTTCTTTTTCGTTGTTGTTGTTGTTGTTGTTGTTGTTGTTGTTGTTG